GGGAGACCCTGGGAGCCCTGCCCTGTTTGTGAGAGTTTCATCCTTTCTCCAGGACCACTCTCTACAGTCTCTTATACAAATACCTGGGAAAATGGAAAGTGGATACTGTTTTCCTTCCACACCTTATTACTTTACCGAGGAGTATTTTTTAAATATGTTAAAAATATTTTCATATGTGCAGAAAGTTGCAGCGGCGTCAGAGATTCCTGTGCCTCTCACCCTGCTCCCTACACAGTGAACATCTCACTGACCACAGGGCACCCGTGCAGCTAATGGAGTCATAGTGACTCTCGGTCACTGAGCCCCACGCTCCACCTGGAGCTCATCACTTTCCCTTTTCATGTCCAGGATCCCATCACATTCCAGCCAAGTCTCCTTTAGGCGCTTCTGCTGAGACAGTTTCCTAGACTTTCCATGTTTTGACAACATTGACACTGGAGTCCTGCCCAGGAACCGTGTCCCAGAATTTGAGAGTCATCACTGGGGCTGTGATTTTGAGAAAGAAGGCGACAGAGCTAAGGTGTTGTTCTCCACTTAGTGTGTCAAGTGACATGCACTTTCCCCTCACTTCTTAGTTACCTTTGTCTGACACAAGCTATGCGACGGCTATCGTCTGACAGATTCCGGGTAGCTCGGGAAAAGCTCTGAAAGATCAGACTTTCCACGCTAACTTATGTTATGACCTCCCTTTTTTGTATAATCGTAATATCAAAATATTCTGAGCAAATTTCAGCCTACAATTGGATTGCCTCAGCTGCATAAGGCCTGCCTGCCCTGACAAGCAAGCACTGCACCAGGGTGAGAAATTCTTCTGAAGTCAAAAGTGACTTAACAACTGGCTGATCAATAAAAACAAAAGGGCTGTTTCTGCAAAGTCTCTCACTGCTGGAAGGAGGAAAACCCAAATCTTATTCTGCTATCTCACCTAGCCTCCTATTCAGCTTCTACAGAATTACTCAAACTTCCTACTGTCTGGCTTTAGATATGGAAATTCATCCAGATTGCCTGCTTTAGAGCTAGTCAAGTTTTTTACCTGCTACACTTCAAAGCAATCCACAAAAGTCTTTCTGGCTAGTCTTTCAGGATTCTACTATCTAGTCTTTAGATAAGGAAATTCACCTGTCTCCTATTCAGAGCAAATTATGCTTTCTACTGCCTAGACCTCAAGGAAACTTACTTGAAACCTTTTAGCAAGTTTCCTCAAAGTAGAAAATTTACTTGAAACCTTTTAGCTAGTTTCCTCAAAGTAGAAAACTTACTTAAAACCTTTTAGCGAGTTTCTTTAAAGAACTTTTCCAAAACTTGATTAGCAAGAAATTTCCTCTTCCTGCCTCCCAAGATGTTTCAGGTAGAAAAAACCATCAGATAATAGATAAGGTTTAAAGGGCTTTATTCTTATATATCTTCACTATAGTAACATTAGTCTTAAACTTTGAGCACCTATGTATCTGTTCTTTAACCCTGATTTTAGAATGTTATAATCTCAAGTAAAGGTCAAACGACCCCAGACCATTCTTAGAAAAAAGGTGATTGTGACTTAACCCCTTTCGTATGCTAATGCCATCCCCCTGCCGGCTGGAAATGTATAAAATAAACCTCTGCTAAAGGCAGAGCAGGAAAATTTGTACCCAACTCCGACTCCCGTGTCTTCCTCACACCAGCTCCTCTCCCCCTTTTGGAATCTCCACACGCCCACGCCTTCCCATCTTAGGGTCCTGCCTGTGTTGCCTCCAGACACCTCAAAAGTTGGAGCTGGTCTCCACAGTTGTCCTTGGAAGGGAGTCACTGCTGCAGCTCCCACTGAGTGGATGTTTGCTGTAAACATTTACATGCAGGATTTTGGTGGGAATATAAGGTTTTAAACTGTGTAAATAGGACAGTGACCAAGGATTGCAGGGTCAGTCTGTGTTTGGCCTTAATAGAGACTTCCAGAACTCATAGCAAGAGTATAATGGACCAGGAGAGAAAATAATGATGATAATGATGAACAGCTATATACCAGAGACATTTTATGGGAGTAGAGTGGGGAATGGGATCAAAAACAGTGGGGGTAGGGAAATGCACTGGACTATGGTGATGGTATATGAGTGATTTGGTGATGGGAAGCCCATGAGGAGTACAACTGAGATGGAAAAAAGCACAAAATGATGTAAAAAAAAAACTATTATTTTATTTAAAAAATAAAATAAAAGAGACTTCCGACTCTTTTCCAGAGTGGCTGTGACACTCTGCGTCTTGCCAGCAGTAGGTGAGGGTCCCGGTTCTGTTTCTTTCTTCCTTTCTTTCGATTTATTTATGCTTTCAGAATGGGCTATAGGCCCGAGGTGTGGTGGGTGAGAAGATTCACCAGACACAGAGTGAGGAGCAGAATAGGTAAATCTACTGAATTACACTGCGGAAGCGGCTTTAGATTCTCAGTGCTGTGCTTTAACCTGCTGCGCCACCAGGGAGGGCCTAGACATCATTTTTCAAAAACAGTTTGTAATTTATGGAACTGTAATTTCAGTAGAGTCCCTGTGTCTCCCCTACTCATGGCCCCTGTTGCTAACATCTCATATTTTATTCATGTAGCAGATGAAGCAAGGGTTAGAGTTGTGACTAAACTCCATGTTTTATTTGAATATCATGGTTTTCGCTTTTCCGTCCCAGGCTCCATCTTGACTCCACGTTTAGTCCCAGCTATGTCTCTGAGGCTGCTCTGGCTGAGTCCGGCTCTCAGCCTCTCCTGGTCTTCACATTTAGGGGTCTTGCACAGGTGTAAGGTAGAGGGGCCTCAATTTGATTGGGGGACTGAGGGATGGGGTGGGCCATATGTGGGGGCCATCTGAGCACACACCCTGGGGGTCCCCTGGCCTGACCCTCCCCGATGGGGCTCCCCTCCCCACCTGGCTGAGGCCGGGTCCCCACTGCCTCCCTGGGAAGTTCTTTCCTTCCTGTGTCCACTTTCAGCACTGCAGCCTGGGATGGAATGACTCTGTGGGGCCCACAGATAGGGGTGCCCCCCTCTAAACAGTGCGTGGAGGTTTTGTGTAAATATGAGTTTTAGAGTGAGTTGGGTATATAGCTAGGAGAGTGACCAGCAGGTTTGAGGGTGAGTGTGCATTTCACTTCACGAGAAACTGCCGAATATTTTCCATAGTGAGGTGCTATTTTCCATTCTTGCCAGCAATGAATGGGGTTCTTGCTTCTCATCCTGGTTGGCACCTGGTCCCCCCTTATTTGAGGTTTCACTTTCAGGTTTCACGTTTCACGTCCGTCATTCAAATAGGGTCAAAAGTGATCTCCTCCCCCCGTTTTGCCCCTATTTCTGTGACAGGCTGCAAGGAAGAAAGGCAGGAGGTAGAAAGGCTGAGCAAGCAGAGTTTATTGTTCGTGGACAGCAGCTGACCCGGAGCCCCTAGGGTGGGGGCCCAGCTACTGCCAGGGCTATAGGGGAAAAGGGTCTCATATAGATTCTAGGTTCAGATTCTAAAGGGGTGAATCACTACTGTGCCCCCTGATCCTAGGCCTAGTTAATCATCACCCATAGGTGTGAAGAATGTAAAAATGAGAAAGATAAGGAGGTTTTTCTGTGACCAGGCCCGACTTGTTCAGCAGGGAAGAATTCCTTTTGACCAAAAGATAACTACCTCTCTGAAAAACAGCGACATCCTGTCGCCGTCCTAAAAACCATTGTAACTTCCTCGTTCCATGCCTCTGAAATGTACCCCCTCCCTTCCCTAAAATACTGTTTAAAAACTGCTCACTGTAATAGCTCGGGGCTCTTGGCCTTCCCCTCGCCTCGAGCCCGCTCGCGAGTGTATTAAATTCTTTTCATTTTTCTGCAGTTCTGAGTTTTTGAGTCTTTGTCGGTCTGTCGTCGGTTCTAACTCTTTTCATTATTACACTTATGTAGTCCCATGGTAGCTGTGTTATCCCACCACCTCTTCACCCCCAACACCCCCTCCCACCACTACCTGCTGAGTCCCCTCAGCCTCTCCCCTGTTCTCCCTCCCCATTGCCTAGGGAACAGCCCACCAGCATTTCCAGGCTCCAGGTACAAAGGCTCCACTTTTTCGGCCCAAATTTAAATCTCAGAGACCTTCAAGGGGCAGGTGATGAGGCCAGATCTCCTGCTGCTGCTCTCTTGGGTCCAGATTCTGGCAGAGTCCTGGGCAGGTGAGTGAGGTTGGAGAGAAACAGCTGCTGCTGGTGGGAGCCTCCTGGCTGGGGTGGAGGAAAGGAGGGTGATCCCCGCCCCAGGCCCTGTTGTCCCCCTCCTGTCTGTCCTGCCCTGGTCCCTTTCTGCCCCTCCCAGCCTCTCACCTCACTCCCCCACCCCAGTCTCCACC